CTTGGTTGCATCTCCGAAGGGTTTTGTGCCCAGTCCCAAGGTTTGGTGCCCGCTCCCTAGGGATTTGTGCCCGCTCCCAAGGTTTGGTGCCCGCTCCCAAGGGATTTGTGCCCGCTCCCGAGGGATTTGTGCCCGCTCCCGAGGCTTGGTGCCCGCTCCCAAGGCTTGGTGCCTGCAGCAGGGATGAGGTTTGCTGTTTGCTGCCGGCTGCATGGAGAGGGAGATGCCGCAGGTGTGGGGCAGCTGAGCCAGCTGGGCACCCATCATCCTATTCATGTCAGCCCGTCTGTGTGTTCCCTGCCACTGGGCAGAGGGGACACGGGGTTCAGGGACTCCCAGGAAGGGTTTGGGAGTTTTTTCCAGGCAGCAAACAGCACCAGGGGTCCTGCAGCTCCCGGGTGCAGACCCAGAGGTTTTGCTCCTGGTGCCAAGCAGCGAGATGGCCACCCATGTGCCCAGGGCCCTGGGGCAAGTGGCTGCCCTAGGGTGGCTAGCACCAAGGGATGATTGCCACCATCTGCTGCTGCAGTGCCCGGGAGCACCGGAGCTGCCCTGGAGGCAGATGAGACAGCAGGTTGCTGCCAGAGGAGGATGAGGATGCAGTGCTACCCTGAGCTGTCTGCTGCCCTTGGCATCAGGAGTTGTGTCCTGCAGCCATGAGCCCAAGGCAAAGGGACAGACCCCACCACTGCCTCCCCAGTCCCCCAGCATCAATGTGCCAGAAGCCCCTTCCCAGACTTCTCCCTGGGATCCAGGCCTCAAGAGGATCCTGTGGCCAAGCTCACCAAGAAGTTCAACAGCCAGTTTGATTTTGGGCTGGCAGCTCCAGGCCACACAACATCTCTCCCCCGTGCCCGCCGTGGGACCACACAGCAATGAGGGGCTCTGGAAACCCCCATCCTGCCAGAGCCCCCCTCTCACTGGTGCTGCTCCTTCCTGTTACTTAACAGGCAGCAATAATTCCCCACGGAGGCGCCTGCCTTCGGATTAACACCGTCTGCAACGCTTAATCCAGATCAGAGGAGGAAGACCTGGAGCTCTTGAGGGGCTTTGAGCCATCAGTGGCACTGGCTGCTGCTGTTTACATAAGGCTGTGGTGCCTGGTGCCAGGGGCTGAGCCAGGACAGTGCCAGGACAATGGGTACCAGCACCCAGGGAGCTCTGCCAGCACCCGGGACTGCTGCGTTTGGGAGGTGATGTGGGTTCACCAGAGCCTGCTTGCTGGGGGGCTCCAGCTCTACTTGGGGCTCCTTTTGGAGGGGAGAACCCACAGGGGAGGGCACCAAAGCTGCAGGGCTCTGTCCCCACGGCAGCACCAGCCAGGGATGCCCCCACACTCTCTGCCAGCCCCACATCTGCAGGGGTTTGTCCGGCACGTCCTGCCCTGCTGGAAGGGGCTGACTGAGCTGTGCCTCACACAGCACAAGGGCCTGGAGGGTTGGGTGGGATGTGTCAGATGAGAGGAGCCTTTGGCCATTAACTAAACAGGAAAAAGGAAGAAACCCTCTCTCATTTCCCTATTATTTTTAACCCAGTGCTGCATCCCCCAGCTTCCTTCCCCAGCCCTCGGTTGACAACACAGCTTGAGTGCAGGAAAGGATGTGGTCTCTCCATCTCACCACTGCTTGAAGGGGGAAATATCTGCTCCCCTACTTGGGAAAGGCCTCCCAGGCTGAATCCACCCAGTTGGGATTAAACTGAGTTGAAGCTACACGTAATGAATCTGCTCTCCATCCTTGCCTTGGATCCTTGTGAATGGCATCAGTCTCAGAGGCCTCATTAAGAGCCTAATGAAGAACCACAAGCAGAGAGCTTGGGATTAGGTCTTCTGGGCATGACAGTGAGGGTGGCTGCTCTGCCATCCCCCCTGACTGGGCAGCAGGCATCCAGGTGTGACTGCATCCTCCTCTTCTGCCCTCCAGAGGGAAGGTCACAGTTCACGTGTCCCCCCCAACCCTGGCAGAAATAGCACCAGCTAATCTGCAAACTAATCAGCTCTCCTGGGTGCAATTAAAGAGACCACAAGTCCAAGGCAACATGTGCTGCCAGCTAAAGCCCTGGGCAGCAGGGCTGGTGGGGCTGGCATGCTGTGGTGGCTCCCAGAGGCCCACGGGCACAGGTGGGCTGCATTTGGGAGGGGTTGGTACCCAGGTGATAAAGGTGGTAGAGCTGATTGAGGGTGCTGGGATGGTGCTGCTGGCAGCTCTGGGATGGAGGTGCAGCAGTGAGCAGGAACATCCCAGCCTTGGTGCTCAGCCAGAACCAAGTGTGTGCTCAAAACAAAGGGTCTGGTGAGCACACGAGGGCTTGAGGGATGCTGGAGGTGAGGAGGGTGAGTGGGGCCTTCCTGGAGCAGTTTGCCAGGGCTGGCCTTGGGGTCTGTGCCCTGCTCCCAGGGGCAGCACCCATGGGAGCATCCCCAGCCTCTCCTGCAGAGCAGGATCCCACACTCCAGCTGCTGCCTAGAAGGACAGCAGTAGGGAGTGCTTCTCTCCCACCAGCCATAAGGCAAATCCACTCTGTGCTTTCAACAGGTCTCTATTTGCAGCAGCAAACCTTGAATTAATGATGAGCTAATCAGGCCAGGTGAGGCCAGCCAGGGGTGTTATGAAATGACGTGGGGCTGAGCAGGTTGCCCAGTGGTGCTGAGGGACAGTGGCAGGTCTGTGTCCCACCACCAAGGGGTGGCCAGCCCTCCCTTGCTGCTTCAGGAGGAGTGAAGCTTGATGTGGGACCTGCTGCTGCAGCCCCAGTTCTTGCCTGTACCTTTGCCCCCCTGTCTGGTACATCAGCATCCCTGTGTCAA